AAGGTAGTCTACATGAGTCGGTCTACCTCCAGAGCCCTCTGGCTTCTCTGGGTCCTTCCCTCCTGGGACCTAGTGGAGCCTGCGCTACCCCATCTATGGCCTTCGTCAGGCACCTTGTAAGTTGCACGACACGCTTTGCACCACACTTGCTGAGCTGCAGTTCTTTCCGTTCTCTGCTGACCCCTCTCTCATTGTTCGCACGGTTCCGACCACATTCTACATCCTAGTATATGTAGATGATGGTATCTTCGCTACTCTTGAGAGAGATACGCTGGCCTCAATGAAGGCCGGGTTGCTTAGTAGGCACACTTGTACAGGCCTGGGGGAGCTGAGGCGCAATCTCGTGACCGTGCCACTCGTATGATCACACTCTCATAGTCATATATGGTGCACCAGATCCTCCACAAGTTTGGTCTCCATTTCTCCTCAGCATAGCCTACCCATCTGCCTGTGGGTCACAAGCTCTATGCTCCTGTTCCGACTGAGCCGGCTGAGGCTAGTGGTCCATACGCAGAGCTGGTAGGGTGCCTCATGTACCTGATGACCTGCACTCAACTAGATCTAGCATACCCTCTCAGTCTCTTGGCTCACTTTGTTGTTACAGGCAGGCACCGACCACTCCACCAGTCAGCTGCCAAGTGGGTACTTCACTATCTAGCGAGCACATCAGGATTGGGGCTTGTATTAGAAGGATGGGAGCCGGTGGTTCTTAGTGGACACACAGACGCGCGGTGGGCTGGCGACTTGGAGACGCTCAGGGCTACTGCTTTAGTCTTGGTGCTGGTGCAGTCTCGTGGAGGCCCACAAGGTCGTCGTCTATAGCTCAGTCAAGCTGTGAGGCACAGATCTACACTGGGGCCATTGCCACTCAGGAGCTCCGCTGGCTGGCGTTCTAGCTTACAGACTTAGGTGAGCCGCCTAGGTCTGCCCTGGTCCTGTTCGCTGACAACATGGCCATGACCCCCCTGTGTCAGGAGGCTCGACTTGAGGGCAGGCCAAAGGACATCGAGCTGCGGAACTTCCTGCTTCGTTAGTTGCAGCAGTGCGGTCAGGCTCGTATGGTACACTTGGCCTCAGAGGCCAGTACTAGTGATATCTTCACCAAGGCACTTGCATCTCGTAACCATACGCGGTTTTGTACTCAGCTTGGCCTAGTCTCAGTAGTAGTACTACTCCTTGTATCCAGAGTCATACTAAACCTGCTTGTACTTATCGTTCAGTACATGCTTGCCTTGCTACACTTGCTGACTGGCCTTGTGGCCTCTTGTCTCAGTGGTCAGACTAGTAGTGCTGCCCTAAGTTGCCTTGTTACCTTCACCAAAGGTTAGACTAGTAGTGTTGCCCTTGTGTACTTTCCTTGTTATGAAGTACCGCTATTTAGGCTAGGGGGTGTGTCAACAAATGTACGTATATAGATTACCTATATCATATTTGCACATAGCCTAGTCAGGTCAGTTCTTAGAGGGTACATCCCTGCTCTTGTACCCCTCGACACTTTTCCCTTTGTCAATATTCTCTCAATAAACCTAACACGTGCCTACAATTCTCCTCCGCCATCACCCTGAGACTGACGGAGAGAGCGAACATGCCAATCTGACAATTGAGCAGTTGATTCGCGCCACCTGATATAACATGGCGGACTGGGAGCTTTGCCGCTGATCGAGTTCGCACAACAATGCCCCGCAGCCACTACTAGACAGTCAGCATTTTACCTGAACTACGGACAAAACCCCGCAGTGCCCATCACATCCGACACCAAAAATCCCGTGCCCCGAGCCCAAGAGTTTGCATAAATATTTCATAATGCACGTGATCGGGCAGCCGGAGCCATTAAGCGTGCGAAAACTCTTTCCAAACACAACGTGGATTCACACCGACGAGTTGTGACGTGCCAAGCGGGACACTAAGTACTGCTCGATACTCAGAACCTTCGACTGCCCATAGTTTGGAAACTATGGACCATTTACTAAAACCCCCGCTACTGTGGACCATTTACAATCAGCAACATGGTACCTGCCACCTAGAATATTAGCTCATCATTTCACGTGCAGCTGCGGCAACCATACATCGCCAGCACTAGCAAACTACCATGGCATAGAGCCAATCTGAACATCCGACCGCTTGTCAAACCAACCATCGAACCTGTGAAGATTCTCAGCCATCAGACCAAGGATCCTCAAGGAGCTCGCCTGATCGAGTTTCTGGTGTCCATGAAGGACCGGACGTCCATGGAAAACAATTGGGTGCCCTTGGCACAGATCGAGAACTACCATGTGGTACGAGTCTATCTCCAGTCACGCAATATCTGTGACGTCGGCAGTCTTAGCTAAGACCATACCTTAGAGTGGGGAAAGCGTAAGTAAATGACATTTCCTTATTCCGGGTTTTTTTTAGTAAGGTGTACACTATTATGACGGGTTCCAACATGTTGGAAGAGGCGCGATTCGGGTTTGCCCTCCTTCCCGCCGCATTGTTGCCGGTTTGGTAGTGCTTGGTGACCTACGGTAGTTGGTTTAGTGTGAGTCAAGCGAGGGCTTCAAGTAAGTCCGATCCTAACACTCGAAGCTGCTTTGCACATGGGGCGAATGGAATCGGGACGAGAGCCTGCTCCGGAACAAGCAGCCGACAAGACCACCATCTCAAGGGGACAGTCAGAGTGTCTGCAAACCTGATTGAGTCACAGCACCAGAACGCTCAACTGATACTTGTCAGCCAAGATCGACGGTACCTTTACAGACGGCACATGCGACTCGCCTCCACCACCACCCACGATCTCATATCATCTCGCCAAATCGACGGTTGTCAGTTCAATAGCAAGCTTCATGAAGCTTTGAATTTGACTGTTCATTGGATGCACATTGCAGTTGACTGCTCCAATTGTTGCAGCGTGGTTGAGCGAAGCGAGCGCGACGCGGTAATGGAACGTCGCCAGCTGGTTGCAGCGTCGCTTCGACAATAGGTCGGCAGCCTGAGAGTGTAAGTAAATGGCATTTCCTTATCCCGGGTTTTAGTTAGTAAAGTGTACACTGCTATGACGGGGTTGCCGCTCAGCTCTGCCACGAAATTCTAATCGCGGCACCCAAATGTGGTCTCCTGATGAGCCGCATGCATTTTGCTCGCCTTGTTGTTTCATGCATGGGTGCTTCGCGCCAATTTACGAACCACATCTCTCAGCTCTACTGAGCCTCGAATGTGTGCTCTAGGCCTAGCTATATCCAGGCTCCCTGTTGTTGTGATGTTGCCTCTTTGTATTGTTTCCTCGCTACTCAATTAGTCGACACACGCTCTTTGCGCTTCATTATAAATGGAGAAGCATGAAGACCAATGGAGTAATGTATTTTATATTCTAAAATGCACACCCGTTTTAATCACGCTGACTCAGAGCGCCCTGCCCGGTATTGATCTCGACGGTGTCAGAAACTGCTCCTTCCTCAGAGGCTGGAAGGCGCGCGATTCGGGTTCGCCCTCCTTCCCGCCCCATTGTTGCCCGGTTTGGTAGTGCTTGGTGACCCAGTTTGTTCGGTGTGATTTTAGCGAGGGCTTCTAGTGAGTCCGAGCCTGATGCTCGGGGCTGCTTTGCGCTTGGGGTGAAAGGAATTGGGAGGAGTGCCTGGTCGGGAACAAGCTCAGCCGACAAGAGCACCATCTCAAGGGGACAGTCAGAGTGTCTGCGAACGTGAACAAGCCACAGCACCAGAATGCTCAACTGATACTTGTCAGCCAAGATCGACGGTACCTTTACAGACGGCACATGCGACTCGCCTCCACCACCACCCACGATCTCGTATCATCTCGCCAAATCGACGGTTGCCTGTTCAATAGCAAGCTTTACGAAGCTTTGAATTTGACTGTTCATTGGGTGCACATTGCAGTTGACTGCTCCAATTGCTGCAGCGTGGTTGAGCGAAGCGAGCGCGACGCGGTAATGGAACGTCGCCAGCTGGTTAGAGCGTCGCTTCGACAATAAGCCGGCAGCCTGACAGACTGCGAGGCTCCGACTGGCGGCGGTTGTGAGCGACAAAAAGCCTTTCAAAGTCCGCACCCGCTGAAAGCCCGCGCGCTCTGACACTCAAGACTCTTGTGGCGGGACTGCACGCTCATGCGTAAGAACAGGAAGGCTTACAAGCGGCTCGGAATATTCCGCGTCCGAGATCAACGATAGGCTTTCGTCACACAATACAGCCGCTTCGATAGGCCGGCAACCACGAAGCGACGCCTGCCACCCATGGCTGCACTCCACCAGCAGACTCTGTTGTTTCGACACGCCACTCCGAGTGGCCGTCGACGCTGGCTGGCGGAGGAGTGCCCCTCCCTCGCGAGTCGCTGCTGTAGTACAAAGCTGGACAACCTGTGCAGCATGCATCAGAGTCTCGCATTTCAAACCCACGATTGAGATCGAGATCGAGTCGTTTGTGGTGGTACTAGAGGAGCATTGCGTCCCAGCAGCGCTGTGATGAGGGCGCCAAGGCAGCCCGCCAGCAGTCTGAGCCCCGCCTCGCAGCGCCGCGACAGCGAGCGTGGTCGTGGCGTGGCAGCCAGGACCATCACTGTAACGCATGGCCTCTGCACAGTACGCGGGCCTAGAAACGACCTTCCCAACCGCTTTCCACAATACGGCTACCTATGCTAGGTAGCGCGAAATAGGAAGGAAGGGTTGGGAGGGGAGGATTGGGATTGGTCGACACTTCGGGCCAATCAGATTTTAGTTGTACAAATTGAGTTGGCGAAAATTTCCAACTCACGCGATGGTTGGGTTTTCGACCAATCAGAACCAGTGAGTTGGTTGGCAGTGCCAACTCAACTCGAATATTCTTATGCTGTACACTAAATGCTAATCTGAATATATTGCTGTAAACCTCTCATTGGTTGGAAATCCAACCCTTTGCCACATAAGCTAGCTCACCTCCTTGGAGCCATGGAGGAGGTTGAGCAGCTGCTGGGAGTCATTGGAAGGGGTCTGGGCTGAGAAGCTCATTCTCAACTTCCCACTCCAAGAAATCAATCTTGAAATGGGATTTTTCTCTAAGTCATGAGTTCTCCTCACAAGCTTCCCTACACTAGTGGCTTCTAGTGTGATCTCCTAGGGGAAGCCCTACCCAACCAGAGTCTCAAGCACTTTTCTTCAAGGGTTTTCCTCAAACTTAAACTACCTCTTAGAGGAGGTTCTTCCTAAATACCACGCTAGGGGATCGTTAGTTGATTTTGCACCCCATTTTATATCCTAGGATCTTGGATGTTGAGTTTGGACTTCAACCCTTGTTGCCCATGATATAAGGGCAAGGGTCATTACATTGGTAATCAGAGCTACGTTAATCTTAAGCCTTGTGGGATTTTTCTTGATCTATTTTTTTTTTAGAGGGGTGATTGGCCTTCAATCCAAGACATTGGAGTGAAGATTTCAAGAGATCACAAGTTTCTCCAAGTCATTTTGAAGAGCTTCTTCAAGATCTTCATCAATTCCTCCACTTCTCAAAACAATTTCCCAGCACAACCTCTTCTCCTACCTCCACCATTCAAGATTTGAAGAGAGAACATTTTCTCTCTTACCCACCTTGTTGGTGGAAGACTCCCTTGAGGAGTGGGTTTCAGATCTGTGATCTGTTGCAAGATCTAGTTTAGATCTTGCCCTAGCATTGAGGTGCTAGGGATTGGGCAACAGATTGTATTTCTTGTAATTTCTCTTATTAAGTTATTCTGTTGAGAGATCTCTTTATAGAGATTGTCTTGCCCTCTCACTGCAGTGATTGGGACTTGAACAGATTTCTTAAGAGATTTTAAAGAACATTCCAGATCTGTTGAAATATCTTCCTTGTTTTACCATGACTTCAAGTCAAGTTTTGGAGAACTTGGAAAGGGAGGAGCCTAATGTGACTCCTGAGGGAGCCAACCTTGCTGCCAGTAATAACCAACAGCAAGATGAGGCTATGGCTGACATTGAATTGGTGGACCTGAATTTGGAGAATGAGGGTAATGAAGAGCATGGAGAAGCAGAAGGGATTGATGGAGCAGAGGGGGAGGATGATGGCATCGAGGAATGGTCGCTCTCCGATGATGTGGCTAAACTCCAAGCACAAGTCTCTGAGCAGCAGCTTATAATCAATCAGCAGAAGGGACACATCAACTCCCTCAATATTGCTTTGGCGACACAAAAGACCGACACGACTAGGCTGCAAGCCGATCTCAATATGGCATATGGAGAGGTACGGGATCACAAGCGTCTGTTACATAACAGGGGCAATCAAATCCAGGCCCTGGAGAAAACGTGCGACCAGCTGCAAGCTGCTATCATCCAACTGCAGACTACAACTGCCCAACTGCAATCTACAATCGCCCCGATGCAACCTGCTATTGCCCACCTGCAGAACCAGTACAGGGATATTCGGCGGGGTCCTATCTACCAACACTCACCCGCTACTGCTGGCCCGTCGGGCACCCAATCCAACCCGCCGCCTGTTGCACCTCCTACAACTGCAGCACCTCAGCAACCTGTCCAGCCCATGGCAACGCCTTTTGGCTCGCTCCCCACTGCGCTCCCAAAATTCATCCATGGCAAGACGGATGTTGAGAACTGGGTGACAACTATGGATGAAATGCTGACTCTCCACAACGTGCGCACCAACGCTCGTGTCACCGCCGTCTCTGGTGCGTTGGATGAGCATGCTAGCCAAACCATGTTTGCTAGCCGGAAACAGCTCGAAGCAAGTGGAAAGTTTTTCACCTGGGACGAGTTCTGTGCTGCAATGAAAGCGGCTTTTCTTGTCAAGACAACTGACATGGAGGTGCGTCGTCGCCTTGAAAACATCAAGTGTGGCGATCGCTCAGTGCAGAAATATGCACAAGAGTTTGAGGGCGTTCTGCGACTGATGGGCAAGCAGCTGTCTGAGAATGAAGTTATGTATATCTTCTTCCAGAATTTGCCCCAGTCCCTGCAGGATAAGCATGTCGCAAATGGCCTCAACAAATGGAGCACCTACAAGGAGCTCAAAGAGGCGGTTCAAGCAACGGACGAGACTGTTCGTATGCTAGCAACGCCTTCCACCGACCAGCCTGAGTCGAGGACTCAGGCGAGGGGTGATGGTGGCAATGTTGGTGGTGGCCAGTGGAATTCCAAGGGGAAGGGCCATGGGTACAAGAGGCCCTTCCACCAGAATGGTAACCAGCAGCGTCCTCCGGCTAAGAGGGCGAATGGTGGCGGTTACAAAGGGCCGCCAAGGGACTTCTCTAATGTCGTCTGCCGAGGGTGTGGCCGCCGTGGTCACATGGAATTTCAGTGCCGCTATAGGAATATCATAAAACATAGTGGTAAGCCTAAGGGCAACAACAATGGCGGCGAAGGACCTTCTGGCAGTAAGAAGGATTTTCAGAAGTCCAACTAGGGTGTGGGTACCTAGTTGGTCAGATAGATCGGGGAGATGAGGCATATGCTTTATGTGACGATGATTTAGTAAAGCTAGAGAAGCTTGCTGAATGCAAAATCTCTTGTTTGTTTGCCTCTTCTTTTAATAAAAAGTCAATGTTTGCACCTCGATCGTACCCACTTGATGCTATATCCATCGAAGCGTTACGCGATAAATTCTCAGTCGTTTACTGTGGCCTGGAAACATTGCCTTCTGTACTCGATGTCGTGAGTCGTTGTACTCAAGAGCACCCCCTGACTGCGGTCGCCGTGGTGACTCGTACAGTAAAGGGCGAAACGTTCAAATCGCTTCGAGGATGGGTTGTGCTGGCGTCTTGGGACAAGGGACACCATGTGTGGTGGACCAAATCGGAATCCTTTGGACGAGCTCGCCACAATGTCAAGGTGTACTACAAACCCTCGTCGAACATTGTGGCATGCCCCATCCGCCCAATGCATCAACAAAATCTACTCATTTCGGGTCGCGTTAACGGACATAGCGCGAAAATTCTTGTCGATACAGGTGCCACTGTTTCCCTCCTTGATGAAAAGTGGGTCACACCGCTTGGGGTCCTCGTTGAAGGACCGTCATGTCCCATTCGTCTTGGGGACGATAGTCTTATCCCAAGCAAAGGACGGACATTGATCGACATGGAAATCCAAGGCTATAGCGAAAAGATTCGCACTTACGTTCTCCCCTTGCTTGCGGGTGTCGACGTAGTCTTGGGAATGGATTGGTTACGTGCAAATGAGGTTATTTTGGATTTCCAGGATAACACAGTTTCTTTCACCAAGAATGGTGAACCAATCCAGTGGCAGGTGTCTGTCAACATGACCATCCCGGTGGTTCAAATTACGAAAAGTGCAGACGTGTGTTTTGCTCTGGCATGTCAATTCGGACAGCATTACCGCGTGGCTAATACACTTTTCGTCATACAGCTCGAGGAAGCTGGAACCCCAATGCCAGACATTGAGGATTTTCCACCTCAAATGAAGTTACTGGCGGATGAGTTTAAGGAGGTTTTTGAGTCTATTCCAGACGGACTCCCTCCTGACCGCGCCGTGGGCCACACCATCCCCGTGGAGCCTGGAAAGCTCCCACCGTTTCGACCTCTGTATCGCCTCAGTCCAGCTGAGTACGAGGAGGCTAAACAACAGATTGAGGAGTACCTCAGGAAGGGATGGATTGAGCCAAGTGCATCACCATATGGAGAACCAATCTTGTTTGTTAACAAGAAGGGTGGTGGTTTACGCATGTGCGTCGACTACCGCGCCTTAAACAAGATCACGATAAAGAACAGATATCCTCTTCCAAGGATAGAAGATCTGTTCGATCGACTCCAGGGTGCTCAGTGGTTTAGCGCGTTGGATCTGGCACAGGGGTATCACCAACTGCGCATCACTGAGGAGGATTTTCCCAAGACGGCATTCCGTTCGCCGTTTGGCCATTTTCAATGGCTTGTGCTGAGCTTTGGCTTGACCAATGCTCCAGCCTCTTTTCAAAGGGCCATGAACGATGTGTTCCGCGAAGCAATCGGGCACTTCGTTCTGGTTTACCTTGACGACATCTTGGTTTATTCCAAGACTGAAGAGGAGCACACTCTACACCTAAAATGGGTGTTAGGAAAGTTGCGAGAACATAAGTTCTATGCTCGTTTGTGGAAATGCCATTTCTACAAACGCGAGCTGGAATACCTCGGTCATCTTGTCGGGAACGACGGACTTAAAGTCGACCCCAAGAAGGTGGTGGCTGTTCAGAATTGGCCTGTCCCACAAGACGTGGGCCAGATCAGGTCCTTCCTACGCCTGGCCAATTATTTCCGCCGGTTCTTGGAAAATTACTCAACTGTCGTTGCCCCTCTGACAGCACTTACCCGAAAGGGTAGTGCATGGGAGTGGACTCGACAATGCCAAGAGGCATTTGACAAAGTCAAAACAAAGCTGACCAATGCTCCGGTTCTGGTATTGCCAAATCCTTCTAAACCCTATGAGGTGGTCACAGACGCCTCGACAGTAGGGATTGGGGCGGTACTCTTGCAGGAGGGCCGCCCAGTGGCATTTGAGAGTAGGAAACTCTCCCCGGCAGAGCAGCGCTATACGACGTCAGAACAAGAGTTGCTGGCGGTCGTGCATGCGCTGCGAACATGGCGATGTTATCTGGAAGGTGTGGAGTTTGTGGTCACGACAGACCACTGTCCGAACACCTATTTCTCTACTCAAGCCACGCTCACTCGGCGCCAAGCCCGCTGGGCAGAACTCCTTAGTGGGTTCACATTCGATATTCGATATCGTGCAGGTTCTACGAACATGGCTGACCCCCTCAGCAGACAGCCGATAGGGGCAGCAACTGGGCTTGATGAAACCGAGGATAAGGCGGTGGTTGCTGCTTGCTTCGGTATTCTTGCCGTGGCTCGAGTGAGTGAGGTCACCTTCAGTGGTTTTCTGAAACGCATCCGCACAGGATACCATATTGACTCCTGGTTTCAGAACCCACAAAATACGAAGGGCCTCAAGTACGAGCATGAGCTCTGGTGGCGAGAGAAAGAGATTGTGGTACCCCACGTGGGTAACCTGCGGAATGATATAATTGAGGAAGTGCATAGCACCAAGTACGGGGGACACCTGGGTATCAAGAAAACCCGGTGGGCCTTAAGTGACGTGTACTGGTGGCCTGGATTGGGGACTGAGGTCCAACAATTCGTGTCGCGTTGTGATGCATGCGCTCGCAACAAGTCAGACACGAAAAAGCCTGGTGGTTTGCTTCAACCACTGGAGATTCCAGACGAACCCTGGGAGAGTGTCTCACTGGATTTCATCACAGACCTCCCAAAAACACGAGACAGCCATACTGCGATCTTGGTCTTTGTGGATCGACTGACCAAAATGGTGCACTTCGTTGCTACTACAACAGACGTATCTGCGGAAGATACGGCCAAGTTGTTTGTAGCACATGTGTTCCGCTTACACGGGTTACCGCGTGTGCTGGTGTCCGATCGAGATCCGCGCTTTACAAGCCGGTTCTGGCACGAAGTTACACGGACACTCGGAACGAAGCTAAAGATGTCGTCAGCCTTCCATCCCCAAACGGATGGGCAGACCGAGCGAACGAATCGTACTCTTGAGCAAGTGCTTCGTTCATTCATTGGCCCAACACAGGATGATTGGGATGACTTGTTACCTGTGGTTGAGTTCGCAGTGAACAATTCCGTCCATGAAGGTACCCATGAAAAACCCTTCATTCTGAACTGTGGTCGGCATCCCACGACACCTGCTACGCATGGGATAGGCGGACTGCGAGTCCCTGCCGCGAAAGACTTTGTGGGCAAGCAGCAAGAAGCGCTCAAGTCTGCTCGCCGCTGGCTGCAGCTGTCTCAGCAGCGACAAAAGTCTTATGCCGACATGAAACGCCGGGAAGTCTCTTTTGAGGTTGGAGACAAGGTATTATTGAGCACGAAGAACATTCGTCTCAAAATCCCTGGGGCACGAAAGCTGTTCCCTCGATGGATTGGGCCGTTCGAGGTGGTCCAGCGTGTTGGTGTGGTAGCTTACAAGTTGAAGTTACTCGAAACATTGCAGATTCACAATGTCTTCCACGTGTCTCTGCTCAATAAGTACATTGCTGAAGGCAAGTACTTACCTCCGCCAACGATCGTCCTCGGAGAGGAACTCTTTTATGAGGTCGAGCGTGTGCTCATGCACCGTGATCGACAGGGCGGCCGCAAGACAGTACGCGAGTTCCTTATTAAGTGGAAAGGCTATGGGCCTGAACACAACTCATGGGAGCCAGAGGAACATTTGACCGAAACTGCGGTTCACGGATATCTGGAAGACCTGGCTCAAAGAGCAGCCTCACAACCAGTGGATGGTGTTGACCCTGGTCGTAATGTGATTCGGCGCGCTCGAAGCACCCGTCCCCAGAAGCACTCTACGGCAACGAGGACGTTGCCACCTGGAGGGGGAGGAGTGTAACGCATGGCCTCTGCACAGTACGCGGGCCTAGAAACGACCTTCCCAACCGCTTTCCACAATACGGCTACCTATGCTAGGTAGCGCGAAATAGGAAGGAAGGGTTGGGAGGGGAGGATTGGGATTGGTCGACACTTCGGGCCAATCAGATTTTAGTTGTACAAATTGAGTTGGCGAAAATTACCAACTCACGCGATGGTTGGGTTTTCGACCAATCAGAACCAGTGAGTTGGTTGGCAGTGCCAACTCAACTCGAATATTCTTATGCTGTACACTAAATGCTAATCTGAATATATTGCTGTAAACCTCTCATTGGTTGGAAATCCAACCCTTTGCCACATAAGCTAGCTCACCTCCTTGGAGCCATGGAGGAGGTTGAGCAGCTGCTGGGAGTCATTGGAAGGGGTCTGGGCTGAGAAGCTCATTCTCAACTTCCCACTCCAAGAAATCAATCTTGAAATGGGATTTTTCTCTAAGTCATGAGTTCTCCTCACAAGCTTCCCTACACTAGTGGCTTCTAGTGTGATCTCCTAGGGGAAGCCCTACCCAACCAGAGTCTCAAGCACTTTTCTTCAAGGGTTTTCCTCAAACTTAAACTACCTCTTAGAGGAGGTTCTTCCTAAATACCACGCTAGGGGATCGTTAGTTGATTTTGCACCCCATTTTATATCCTAGGATCTTGGATGTTGAGTTTGGACTTCAACCCTTGTTGCCCATGATATAAGGGCAAGGGTCATTACAATCACCATGAATCGCGCGACGGTGCTTCTCGTCGCCGCCATGGCGGCCCTTCTCCTCGGCCCTGCACCACTGTCAGCGGACGCCGCGCCACGCGCGGCCCGCTCCTCTCGCTGGACAGCCTCCGCGAGTCTCGGTCTGCTGCCCCTTCCGCGAGCATGGCTCCCAAACGCCATGGCTGTCAGTGCTCAGCAGGACCGCTCGCTCGTGGAGCAGAGCGCAGCTGACGCAGCCGCCCAGGAACTCCCCGACGCGGGCACAGGTGGCGCAAGCGCCGGCCAAGGACCCCCCGACGCAGGTGCAGGTGGCGCAGGTGCCGGCCAAGGACCCCCCGAGACGGGCGCAGGGGGCGCAGGTGCCGGCCAGGGATGCACCGACGCCGCGGCTGACGCTGGCGGGACGCATGGCGGAAGGAGCGCGGATGCATTGTGGGGCGTGCGCATGCGCGAGTTGGTGCTGTGGCGCGCTGCCAAATTCCAGATCAAGGCGCGGGAAGCCGTGGCGCACATGACGGCCGGCAAGGCAGCGGCGGCAGTGGCGCGGTCGCGAGCTGCGGAGCTGGTGGGCGCGGACGAGGCGTGGCGCAACCTGGCGCGCGATTGCGTGGAACAGGTGAGATGATGGCACCTGCTTGTGCCAGCAGAGTGGGGCGGTGGGTTATTTTCCGCCGTCAATCCGTTCGAGTACTTTCCGTGGTTTTGAGATCAGTCTTCCCAAGTTCCTAGAGGTAACAGTTCGTGTAATGCAAGCGTTGGTGGTTCGTGGGCGTAACTTGCGCGTGGTGTGTGGTTGGTGCGTGGCGTGGCAGATGGGCGTGGCATGGGAGAGTGTGGAGGAGGCGGCGGGCATGGTGGAGCGGGGCGACGAGGACGTGAATGTGCCGCGCATCCACCTCACCACCGCCGCCACGCTCGCCCTCGACTGCGCCGAGGGATTCGACCTCTTCGCGCCGGGCAGCTCCAGCGACGCCCGCGTGCTCGCGCTGCAGGTCAGTGCCTCATCCTGCTGCCCCCCTCTGCCCCCGCCCCTCACTACCCTGCCTTGATGAGGCAGTCGCCGTGCATGGTGGGATTCCGCCGCCGTCACACTCACTGCTTGCGTTCAGCCCTCTCCAGAGCTCTTTTCGCCACCATGCATTCGCCAGCTCGCCTCGCCTGGCCTTGCTTCCCAGGGACATGTCCCCTAACTCCGGGTGGTGGTGGCATGTGTGCAGGAAGCGGCGATGGAGATGCGCGCATCGCTGATGGAGTCCCTGGAGCGAGCGGCGGACATGGCAGACATGATCGCCGCAGGCGACGACACCGCTGCCGCCGCCCTGCCCTCGCCCACGCGCCGTCGCCTGCTGCAGTCCGCCGCTGCCACTGGCCCCACCACCATTGGCAACGGCACCGCCACTGCCATCACCGTGGCCGACCCCCACAACTCCATTCCCGCAACGACTCCTGGCACCAACACCACTGCCAACCACACTGCCCAAGTGCCCACTGGCACTGGCGTGCCCTTCAACCTCAGTGACCCCACAACCTACCGCAAGGGCCCAAGTCCTCCCCCACCACCCTCCCCGCCTCCTTCCCCACCTCCCCCCTTGCCACCCCCTCCTTCCCCTCCTCCTTCTCCCCCTCCCCCTTCCCCCCCCCTCCTTCCCCACCTCCGCCTTCCCCTCCCCCTCCTTCCCCACCTCCGCCTTCTCCTCCCCCTCCATCGCCCCCCCCTTCACCTCCCCCTCCATCCCCCCCTCCTCCTTCGCCTCCGCCTTTCCCCCCTCCCTCCCCGCCTCCATCGCCTCCCCCCCTCCGCCACCTCCCGCCCCGCGCATCACCCCCACTGTCACCGTGGCACAGGATGGCTCGGGGAACTTCCTCACAGTGCAGGTGCGAGAGTGGGCGCGTGTGTGTGTGCGTGTTTGTTATAGTGCGAGGGGGGGAACCACAACGAGAGAGACAGAAGGCAGGTGCGGGGGGGGAGGCGGGGAACTGCTGAGGCAGGCCTGGTTTGTCAGGGAGGCGAAGGGAAGGGAACGGCTAGGCGTACTTGCAATGTCACGACCTCCAGCCCTTCCCTCAGCTGTGTGGCCTTACTTGCCCTCTCCCACGTGGTGCGTGCAGGCGGCCATCAGGGCATATCCGCCGGGCTTCAGGGGGCGCTTTGTGGTGTTTATCAAGCCGGGCTTCTACCGCGAGAAGGTGGCCGTCAACTCCACGTGCAAGAACGTGACGCTCATTGGGCTCAGCGCCGCCTCCACCATCATCTCGTGGAACGACAGCGTTGCTGCTGGCATCGGCACCTTCAGCACCCCCACTGTTGGTGAGACCCCACACTCGCTGCATGCCCCTCCTTCCTGCCTCTCCACCTCTTTCTCAGCATTCCTTCGTTTCTCCCCTCTGCCAGTGCCCTCACGCTCGCTCTCTGCGCACATCTTGCTGTCTCTGCCTCTCTCCCTCCTCTCTGCCCCTGCAGCTGTGGACGCCAGTGGCTTTGCGGCCGTCGGCATTCGCTTTGAGAACACGGCAGGGGCGGTGGGCCAACAGGCAGTGGCGTTCAGGCAGACGGGCGACAATGCTGCCTTCTACGAGTGCGAGTTCATTGGATGGCAGGTGTGCACCCCCTGACTTCAATGCACCGTGAATCCCCCCTGCTCTATGTCTTCCACACTTGCCCCACTCGCTCTCTCTTTGCACTGCTGCACCATCCACTGCAAACTTGCATTGTCCCACTTTCGCCCCTCCTTCCCTGCGGTGACCCCCCTCCCTCTCCCGACTTCAGGACACGCTGTACACGCACGGTGGGCGGCAGTACTATCGCAACTGCTATGTGAACGGGTCGGTGGACTTCGTGTTTGGCAACGGTGCGGCCGTGCTGGACAACTGCACCTTCCACATCCGCCCGCACAGCAATGCGCCGCTCACAGCTTCAGGGCGCACCAACTACACGGAGAACACGGGCATCGTCATCCTCAACTCCAACATCCAGGGCGACTTCTTCAACAAGTCGTACCTGGGTCGGCCCTGGAAGCCTTATGCGCGCGTGGCTGTCATCAACACCGCAATCAGTGATACGGTGCGTCATTTTCCCCCTCTTTCTGTCTTCACAATCATGTTCCCATTCTGTGCATGTGCTGCCCTCGCACAAGCTCACCCGGCGTCCCAACTCTCTGCATGCCTTCCTCTTGCCTTTTCCTTCCAGGTGAAGGCAGCTGGTTGGCTGGACTGGGGGGGTATTACGTACACCACTTCAGTCTTTATTGAGCAGGGCAACAGAGGGGCAGGATCTGTTGGGCCGCGCATATCCTGGGCGCTGCCGGGCATTGTGAGCGACCCCGCCCTCGTGGCCATGTACTACCCCGACCGCTTCCTCACGCCCTTCGCCAACATCGTCAACCTCATCCCCTTTCCCTGGACCTAACTCCCCTCGTACCTCGCGCAACCCACTGCTTCACTGTGCCCATCGTCGCCGGCTGCAGTCAACACTACCAGTCGACCTTTGTAATACACAGCAAGAAGATATGATGGGCAGTTATATACGTCACAAAAATGTGGATCTCACCTATATTGTAGGTATAGTTGTTCGTATAGCAAGGCTACTCCGTAGCAGACGGACCTATGCCGTATCTACTGTATAGCTACTCCGTATTTTTGGCCCTGGTATTTTAGGACGTACTAGGTTAATATCTTGGGGCATGGTTCACCAAATTGCAGTAGTTGGCAACAGTTTAGGGGATACCTATATTAATTTTGTTAGAACCACCATGCTACAATGTTGAAATTCTGAGGTTTGAGATGAATACGCCCAGATGTTGGTTACCACTCTTCCAATCAGCTCATGGGAATCATCTCCAATGCTGTGATTGCTAGCCTTTCAGCCCTAACCCACTTGGGCCTCTCCCACAACCAGTGGCTGCACTCACATGGATCTGTTCAACCGTTACTTCTTTTGACTCTTCTCCCCCCCTCCTCCCTCGCCCACCTCAGCCTCCAAAGCAACCTGTCCTCGGGCTCCCTGCCTCTCTTTTACCCTTGCCCCTGTCCTCTCCGGCTACCTCTCCTCTCCCCTCTCCCTTCTCTCTCCCCTCTCCTCTTCTCTCCCCTCTCCTCTTCTCTCCCCTCTCCTCTTCGTTCCTCTCCTTTCCCTCTCATTTCGCATCTCCTCCTCCGTCCTCTCTCTCAACATCTCCAGCAACCAGCTCTCTGGCGCGCTCCCCTCCTCCCTCTTGCGCTTCACCGTACTGCACTCATTGGTAGCGGTGCGCAACCGCATGAGCGGCAGCATCCCTGCAGGCGTGGCATCTGTGAAGGCCCTGCAAGCCCTGGACCTGTCATGGAACGGGCTGTCAACAGCCATCCCTGCGCTGCTGTGGGCGGCAGCGCCCTCCCTGCACGTGCAGCTGGCTGGCTTCGCCCTCTCTGGCCCAGCCCTCTCCGACCTGCCCCTCTCCTGCTTCCGCCCCGGCAATTCCAAGCTCTGTGGGACACATTCCAACGGCAGGGGAGGTGGTAGCCTGCTACATCGCAAAAATTCAGTGTCCGAAAAGCATTTGCGCAGTGTTGTTGCGAACACCTTTCAGGTGGTTTCCAAATTGGTGGGTCCAAACACTTCGCGGTGTAAGTTGGAAAGACCTCGCAGATGGTTTGTCCAACACCACTCAAATGGTTTGTCAAACGCCACGCAGATGGTTTGCCGACACCGCGCTGATGTTATTTGGTCGTACGCGATAACACCTCCACGTCACCATGCGGTCATGCTGGAAGAGAACTTTTGTACAGTGCACGAAGACCATTACAAGTTTGTACGCGTCACGCTTACATCTCTTCATTGTGTTTGAGGCGTGTTGTTGTCCTTTTTTTGGTACATTCTATATCCGTTATTGCCAGATCCGCTAGTACTCCATTGCCACAGATATTAGGCTCATTAATTGGTATAGATGGCCAGTAGAAGAAACACATCAGTGTCACAAGAAAACAAATCAGTGACACAAAATCTCAGGGTTTAGACCTCTACCCGCATCCAAGCTGTGATCGCCCTACCAACCGCATCCGGACAAAAGTAGCACTACCCTGGAAGTAAATCGGAAACGACCCGTACGATGGCATCAACCCCCTCCTTCCTCGTTGAGAGAGCACATACTGCTGCTGCAAGCCCCCACCTACTCCCACCGCTGCCGCTGCAGCCGTGATAAACCTTGCTAACCACCAAGGTATGAGTCTGGCCCTGCTGCTGCTTGTGGTTCGTTCATCCCACAACCCCCCCTCCCCCCCCCCCCCCCCCCCCCACACCACAGGCTGCTGCTGAGACCCCTCCCTCGCTGCTGCCACCTGTGCCTCATTCTCCATATCCCCTCTCCCCCCTCCCCCCCAAGGCTGCTGCTGAGACCCCTGCCTTGCTGCTGCCACCTGTGCCTCATTCCCCAAATCCCCTCTCCCCCCACCCGAAGCTGCTGCTGAGACCCCTCGCTTGCTGCTGCCACCTGTGCCTCATTCCCCGAATCCTTCCCCCCACCCTAGGCTGCGGCTGAGACCCCTGCCTTGCTGCTGCCACCTGTGCCTCATTCCCCGAATCCCCTCTCCCCCCACCACAGGCTGCTGCTGAGACCCCTCCCTTGCTGCTGCCACCTGTGCCTCATCCCCCAGTCCCCTATCCCCCCCCTCCCCAAGCTGATGCTCATATCCATTCCTCGCGCCCGCTGTTGCCTCAACCCTTTAACTCCCCCCCCCCACCACAGCCTGATGCCGAACCCACTCATGCGCTGCTGCCGGTGCCTCATATCACAAATGCTCCCAACCACAACTTCCAGTTCTTGCCGCTGCTGTAAGCGGCTTTATCAATACCCACTATAGTGTGATACCCAAATGTCAAGGCCACTCACATCCCTCAAAAGGAACCCGCCCTCGAGCGCCCCCACCCCAACCTGCTGGTCCTGAAAGCCCCGCACACCACCCGCCCAGCCCACCTGTTTCACATCATTTCGCTGCCAGCACCCCACCCCTCAAACGACGCTGCCACATCATGCATCTGCAAACACCCCATGGTTATGAACCCAGCACACGCCAGTACTGGCGCTTGCAATAAGCCCCTCCCATTGTGGGATGGCTGCCCCTTCAGAATGATGCTGACAGACCCTTCCCTCCAGAGCCCACGCCAATACTTGGCTCCACTTCCGTCCCAGTTGTATCCGTCCCCTGCCCTGAACGCTGTGGTGATGCCACCCCTGCACATACCTGCCTCACCCCTGCAAAAGGACCCTTAATCCTTAGCCTCTCCCTCTCCACCTTTGGGCGCCTTCCCCTTGCCCTCCCTCCCTGGTTCCTGCCACTCGTCCTTGAAGCCACTCTCATGGACGTAAAGTCCATACTCTCCCCATTTCCACCCCCGCATGTCCTTGCTGTACTCCTTGGGGTAGTTGCTGAAGTGGTCAATGACCACCTGTCGCACCCTCTTGTGAAGGTCCGTTATCCAGGCCTTGTTCTTGGGGTGTGAGTTAGAGAGGCCCATCGTGGTGTGCCTGCGGCGGGTCAGCCCATAGTCGACCTCGGGAAGAGGGTGGCCGAGGGGGTTTGTAGAAGGGTCAGGGAGGTGGGGGAGGGGAATGGGGTTGCATGAGCCGAGCACAATCGGGAGGATACTAGAGCCCAAGCCACGGCGTCCTTTAAGGCGCGCTCCCCGCCACTTACCACCATGATAATCCAGGCAATGTGATACGCCTTCAGACAGAGCTTCCCCGCCACAGCCCACTGCTGAAACGCATCGAACGCCGCCTGAAAGAAGATCTTGTTGGCAAAAGGCTGCCCGGAGTGCACCCCTGGGGGTGGCTTCGCCGAGCCCCAGGTGCTCACCAACTGCCCAAACCTCCTTCCTGTTGGGGGTAACGGCAGCACAGATGGAGGTGCATGATGCTCAAATGGTGTGAGGATATGGGGAGTGAACACGAGGTATTAACTTCAATGACATGCGCCCTACTAAACAACTGTGACCGCGCAGCTACATGAGTACTTACGAGGCTTGAAGTCATGCCAGAGGGCCATCTTGTCATCAAGGTCCACATGGATCTTGGAGCCCCTCGCCCACTTGACCTTCACCCCTAGCTCCGTCAACACCCGCCTCTTGATCAGGAACCCCCGCTCGTTCTTCCACTGCGTCCATACACGCTTGAACTTATCGTTGTAGTTGTTGTCGGTCATTGCCTCCTGAACAGCCACGAAAGACACCTCGTAGCCCTCCATCACCAAAACCGTGTGAAGGTCCACCATGCGGAGGTAGAAGGTCGTGTAGAAGTCAATGCCCGCATCAGGCGCATCGATGCACATCCGGTCGCGCGAGGTTTCGTAATGGATCTGTGGACGGATGGGCGTCGGGGGGGGGGGGGGGGGGGGGGGGAGAGAGGGCGGGGACAGACAACCAGAGGCATGGGGAGACGGAGGGGAAATGGCAGCAAAGCAGATGCCAAAAAGCAGGTGAGATGTGGAGAGAACTTGTGTGCCACACCAGGAATGAGAGAAGCTGTGGGTATGGGTGGGAGGGAGGGGAACAAACATGCAAAGGATGGGGGGAGAAGTACTCCTTGTTGCCAGAGGCAGAGAACCTGTGGGAAGGGGCAGGAGGGAGAGAGTAGGCGGGCAAGGGCAGCGACATGAGGGAGAGATCTCGAGGTCAATGAAAGGATGGAGAGAACGTGTGGATAGGGGCACGAGGAACAGGGTAGGCTGGCAGGGGCATCCAGGGTAACGACATGAGCGAGCAAACCTGCGGACAGAGGGCAGGAGGGAGAGAACATGTGGAGAAGGGCAAGAGGGAGAGAACCTGTCTGTAAGGGCAGGAAGGAGAGGGTGGGCGGGCAAGGGCACACAGGGCAAGGTCATGAGGTGGACAACCACCGGCCAATGGCATGTGAGTGATCTGTGGGCAAGGGCAGGATGGACAGGGTAGGCAGGCAAAGGCAATGAGGGCATCGACATCAGGGGGAGAACCTGTGGGCAGAATGGGGGTGAGACAGAGAACCTGTGGGCAACAGCAGGGGGGAGAGGGTCGGTGGCCAAGAGCATACATGGCATTCCCATGAGGGAGATATCTCACGGTAAGGGCAGGAGGGAGAGAACCTGTGGGCGGGGGCAGGGGGGAGAGGGTAAGGGGGGAAAGGACATACAGGGCAAGCTCACGAGGAGGAGAACTTGGGGCCATGCGCTGGATGGAGAGAACCTGTGGACAAGGGCAGGAGGGAGAGGGTCGCACGTGCCTGAGGATGACGAGATCCAACGCAAAGGAAATTGTCACCAGATTCTGTCAGGCCAGCCGAGCGGTTGTAAGTGGGGCACGTACAAGCAATGGACACCAAGTCGACATGCAAGTCTTGCCTTGCAAGGAAGAGCGATTCATTGATGACTCACCCCAATCTTCTTTAGCGAGGGCATGCCCTTCTTCCGTTGCACCACTGCCATCCCCGTGCTCTCGCCCACCAGATCCGTGCCGGTATCGGGGCCGCTGGATGCGGAAGCGAGTCGCGGAAGGCCTCGATCCCGCTCTCCCTTAAACTCCTGGATCTTCCCTATGGCCTCCCTCAACGCCCGCCACAGCAGTTGTGGTGTCACGTAGGTCGGCATCTCTTCTGCATCCGCAATGTCTTCCCAGGAGAAGCGCCCCTTCTTGGAGTCCTCACCCTCAGGCCGCCGACGCTTCCCGTCATGCCCGCCAACGCCTTCATACTCGGCCGCAGCGCGTTTGCGCTGAGAACCTGTGGTGGCATGCTGATGTGTCTGATGGTTCCCCTCAGGCCCATACTCCCCCGTGGCGCATGCCCACATCCCACCAGCAGCACGGCCATCATCACTTTGCTGCTTCCGGTGTTCCAATCCAGCATGACCCGCCGCGCGCCCACGTGTGTCCGCCACACTGATACGCAACTCGCTGCCACTCTCAGCATTGTTCCCGCCACGCCACGGGCGACGCTCGTTCGCAGCTTCGCGAACCCTGGGTGGGTTCTTCTCCGACGCCTCCTCATCGTTGTCCTCCCCTCCGTAACCTGAGTCCGCCTTCTTGGATCCCCTCGGGTACTTGTCCAGTGCATCCTTTCCGCTCTTGTTAGGCTTCCACTGGGCAACCACCTCCTCCTCATCACTGGATGAGGCCGCCTTTGCGTACACGTTGCTCCGGTCGCCGCCGCGTTGACGCTTCTTGTGGTAGGGCTCGAGCTCCCCCGCGGACTCACTCTCTGAGTCGCTTTGCTCATTCCCGTAGGCGTCGTCATCATCCTTCGACTTCCATCCCTTTTGCTTGCCCCTGGATGCCCGATCCTTGGAGCTGTTGGTGCGGCGTCGGTCCTCTAACCCTCCTCGCTGCCGCTTCTTCTCCCACCTGTGGTTGCCACGTCCGCTGGTCTTACCGCGCCTGCGACGTCGAGAGCCGCCGCGCCTCCCTTGATGACGTTTACCATGGCTGTCATCGCAGGATTTTCTCTCCAAGTCTGCGGACTCGCTCTCACACTCCTCGTCATCATAGTTCTCCTCGCTGCCGGAACTGCTGCCGGACTCCGTGCTCTCCTCATCGGAATCGTCGTCAGATACCTCCTCCTTGTGCTCTTTCTTGGGGCGGAGGCCTCCGCGATTCTTAGGGGTTGGCGTCCTCGGCTTCAATACAGCACCGCGCTGATGAGCCGCCTTCTTGCCCTCGCCGCCACCGTCTGGCGCATCATCCGCGCCATCCGCGGAGCCCCAAGGTTGCACTGCAGGCATGTCATTGCCTTTTCCTGCTTCCGTGGTCCGAGGGGGGGACACGCCACCAGCCATAGGTACCGAAGTATCCACATGCATCTCCACTGTGCCTCCGTCCACTCCCTTTCTGGCGTGAACCATTGCCCACGGGCCGTCCGCCCCTTCAGCAGGCGTGTCACGCCCGTCATATGCCACCTCACACCCGCCCGACTCCTTATTGTTTTCCACCTCTGTAGCCGTCTTCATCTCTCCCGCCTCATCCTTCCCGCAAGCACTCTTCTCTGGAGGTGACCCACACCCATCTTTCTGCCCCGCCATCTCCATCTTCCCTTCCGCGGTGCCGAGCTTCCCGCGCAAACTCGTGTCCTTCGCCGCCTCCTTCCGATCTACCTCTCCCTCTGCCACAGATTGCTTCGGTCCCTTTTTCTTCTCCTTGCCGTTAGCCTTCTTGTTCGTCGAGACCGCGCGCCGCTTCGCACCTGCCAACAAATGGAACGCTCAACATGGCGGTTAGGCCATGAGTAAGTACTCCCCATGTGCAACCACATACAACCAAGCGTGATCAGGGGTGAAGAAAGCTCACCCCTCTCAACAGCCTCGGTGTCGAGCTCATGAATGCTCTTCTTCTTGGGTGGCTTTCGTTTTTTTGGCGACCGCAATTTCTCTGGAACGTCATCGTATGGTTCGCCATCCTCCCCATCGTCGCTCTCGTCGTCACTGCTATAATCGCTACCATCTCCCTTCTTGCAGCCCCTGACAGAACATGGATGCCGTTTCCGGTACTCAAGGAGGGCCTCCTTCGTCTCGCTAGGCATCACCTTGCGACCCTGGTGCTCCGCAGGACCATCCTCATCTCCCTCAATAACATAGGGGCCGTTCAGCTTGACGCTATTCCTGCGCTCTCTTTCTCCGCGCCTGAGGGTTTCGTTGGCCATTTTGGAGCAGGTGCAAACCCTACAGCTAGACTGGGTGAAATGCTAATGGAAGGGATAGCACGAAATGGGCTACCAAAGAGTGGAGTGGATGTGGTACACAATCAGGAGTGGGTGGAGCAGCCAACGAGGGGGTGGAGATGATGGATCGGGCTGTGAGGCAACAGGACGAACCAACGGGGGAGGTTTGGTTGGGAGAGGAACTTCAATACAGTCAACCATCCGATAACGCCGTGATATGCGGGGAGGAGCAGTTTGCACGGCCAAGATTCATCGACCAGACGACTTCTGCCTGGCTGTGTCAATCAACCTATCCCTCCTCGGGATTGTTACAAGGCTCACACCAAACCTCGATCCGCGGAGCTTTGGTTGGCAACAGTAAACCCCCGAACCTGCTGCGTGCGCATCTGCCCAGCCATACGATGCAGAGAGCCTGCCTAAAGGCTTTTTTTAGGGCAGGCTACAATTTACGATGCTCGTGTTCACGTATAACCCAGCACGCTGTGCTTTCGTTCCAGCTGCAACATGCCCATCCCCCTATTGTTACTGAACTCCGTCGATGTTTATCGAGCAGAGGCGACCATTTGTTCAACATCCTAAACTTTGGGTGACGGGCCACTCTCACAAAAGTGGACTGCCAGCCTGGCATCGCAAAATAACAGGGGTGGTAGGTTGGGCCAGACCAGGCGAGACTTAGCCTACAAGGACAGATTGCACGTACACTCTCACCTGTTGTTGGCTTTGTACTGATAGAATAATACAAAGTTGAATTAATGGCCTCTTTCTGTTCAACCATTTTTACACCCGTGTTCGCTGCATTTATTAAATTGGGGTTTGATTTATGACATTTCCATTCATTTTAACATATTCCAGTGGTAAACATAATTGCAAGTTTCGCACATACCGTATTCTCCCGGATACAGTACCTGCCGGAATTAAGCTCCCATGGGTGGCTTGAACGGGTATGGGTGTTTAATTAAACTGGATCCAGTTACCACCCTACTTTTGGGGTTGAAATCAATTGAACACCCTCCCCCGAAACAGGCCACTACATTGCAGTGAATCTTCACTAAACAATCAGGAATTAGAGGTTAGCTAAACAACCTAAGCCTGCTTGGATGTCCTAGAGCTATATAAGGGGACCACAATACAAGCTACCACTACTCTAGCTCATGCTGCTACTGCCTCTGCCACGTGCTCTAGTCGTCCTCGTCATCATCTTCATCGTCGCCAGCATGCCACTCCTCAACATCACTCCCATCTGCCAGATCAGCCCGCCAGTGGCTGTTATCATCCTCTTCAGCAATGCCTTCAGCCGGCCACTCCACACTGTCTTCAGCTCGTTGTGCTTTTGCTTTTGTCTCTGCCTCTGCTGTAGAGAGGTCGGCATCATCTGCTACTGCCGCTCTTGCTGCCGCTTCATCCATGTCGCCATCGGCTTCTGCTGCCGCCGTGGCATCATGCTCCTCGTCGTCGGCTAAGTCCTCGTCGACGTCGATCGTGCGGTCATACAGAGGGTTGACATAATCGCTCTCACCCCCTTGAACATGGACGTCGTCCAAGAGTTCCACGCCCGGCTTCTCGCGGAGGTGGCGGAGAGCCAAGTTGTCCCCGGAGCCATCCAACGCGTTCGAGATCCCACAGGTGTTGAACGAATTCCGTATGAGCTGAGTCTGTGGCGGTGTTGTCGCCCTCGCCAGACGTGCGACTTGGGCTCCGAGTGTTAGGATTAAGGACGGAGTCTAGGTGAACTTAGGAACTAGAATTACTCAAAATATAAATCCGAAATTCTGGACAGAAAAGTCGTCTTCACAAGAAACAACGTCGACGAAAAACTAGCCGTTGGAATGTCGCGAAACTTGGATATGTTGTAGCTCTTAATCTCAGCTACCGTTCCCAATTTGAATCACGTTGATTGATGAAGTATTCGCGACGCTATGGCTTTCGACGCATTAGGGGGTAAGCTGTAGGAGGAGAACTTAACTCAATCTCAAAAGGTTCAATCAAAGTTCAAGAATCTCACAAGGAATTAGAAGGAGCAAGAGAAAGGTTGGGATAGGAAGAGAGGGATGAGAGGGAAGGTCCCAAGAGAGTCCCCAACCAAGGAAACCCCATAAGCACAAAGATTCCCTCCCTATAGGAACCTCAACTTTGACCTTTGTCCCTTCCCAACCAATCCATCCAAGTTGGCCACCCTTGCCAACCTAGCTTGGTTGTTCCCAACCTATTTGCAGCTGTTACAGTAGAGTGACAAGTTTCCCCAACCCCAAAGGTCCCAACTCCATATAAAGTCACCCCACAACTTCACTTAGTAACCGCCGCAATTGTAACGCAAGCTCATGAACTTTGAATCTTCATAGCTTTCGCGTTGTTGCTCCAATTGAAGAGATTCTTGTTGCGTCGGAAAGATCTTCTCAAGATCTATCATCACAAATACCTGCTCAAACAAAATAACACATAACACATTCCCAAACTCCAGAACACACACCACACAAATGCTTGCACATTCAAACCACACATGCAAGTTGAAAACATGGGATGGGAGGCAGACAGAATGTGATAGCATATGATGACATCACACAACAATCTCCCCCTCTGGCTGCCAACCATCATCCACCATACCACATCTCAAGCATGCATACTCAATGCACACTCATCCCAGCAAGCTTCATGCCCTTCCAATGATCCGCCTCCGCCAGACGCTTGGTGAAAATATCTGCTGCCTGCTGATGGGTCTTCACTATCTCCAGCCGCACCTCCTTATCAAGGAGTCTCCTCACCCAATGCCACTTAGGCCTTATGTGTTTTGTCAGCCCATGCAGACAAGCATTCTTGGCGAGCTTCACAGCGGACTCATTGTCACAAAACACAACTGTCGGCTCCTCCTGACCAACTCCCAACTCCTCCAACAAACGCCTTAGCCACACTACTTCCTTGGCCCCATGGTGTAAGGCCATGTACTCAGTCTCACATGAGGACAATCCCACCTCATTCTGCTTCTTGCTGCGCCAGCTCACAGCACCACCTCCTAGCAAGCACACATAACCCCCAATGCTGGTGCCATCCGCTTTCACTGAGTTGAAGCTAGCGTCAGTATAGCAACTCAAGAGCATCTCTCCACTCTTCACATCTGCAGCACCTCTCTGCAACCGCTGCCTCACTCCACTGTACTCCAATCCCACTGATGCCGTAGCACTCACATAGCGGACCAACCTCTTGGCCGCTTCCAGCTGCTCATGACTAGGGCGTGAGACCACACTAGCCAATCGTGATGTAGCAAATGCAATATCAGGCCGTGTATGATTTGCAGCATAATTCAGCGACCCAACCATCGAATGAAACAGCTTCCTGTCACTATCACCCACTACCTCCTCACCAGCACATGGCTCCACAGTGAACCCCGAAGGTAGTGGTGTTGCTGGCTTTCCCCCATCTTGCAGCCCATACTTCTCAGCCAGCCCCTCACAGTACTTCCTCTGGTGCAACCTCAGCACACCCTTCTCCACATCTCTCTCCACGTGCATCCCCAAGTAGTACTTCACCTCACCCATCTTGGAGCACTTGAACTGCATCTCCAGCATCTGCTCTGCGCTGTCCAGCAAAGCAGTGGATGCAGAAAAGAGAAGGATATCATCCACGTACACCAAGAGCATGAGGATTTCATCCTTCTCCTGCAGCAGGAACAGGCTGGGGTCACACTCACTCTTCTTGAAACCCCCAGCCAACAGCGCCTCCTCCAACTTGTGATACCATGCACGAGGCGCCTGCTTAAGGCCATAAATGGCCTTCTTCAGCCTGCAGACCCTGCCGCTCCCATCATCCAGCCCCTCTGGCTGCTTCATGTACACCTCCTCCAGAATGATCCCATTCAGAAAGGCAGTCACAATGTCCATCTGCCGTATCTTCCATCCCAGGAGTGCAGCTATCGCCAACAGCACCCTCAATGTTGTTCCTTTCCCCACAGGAGCAAACACCTCATCATAGTCCTTCCCCTTTGTCTGCTGAAACCCCCGTGCCACAAGCCTAGACTTGTAGCGGGTCAGCTCCCCTTCAGGTCCATACTTGTGCCTGTAGATCATCTTGGAAGTGATTGCCTTCTTCCCAGGAGGCAAGTCACACAGGTCCCATGTCTCGTTTTCAATCAGGGACCCGAACTCCTCATCCTCACTCGCCTTCCACTTCTCCCCATTTGGTCCATTCAAGGCCTCCTCTCGAGTCTTGGGCTCAGGGATTGGTGCCCAGTAGCAGTGAGCGATCTCATCTTCCTCAATCTGCTCAACCACACTCCCAGCCTGCACCACATTTGGCTTGCCTCTTCCCCCATAGGTCAGCCTCACCGGAGGGCGCACATCCCTCCTAGGTCGCTCAGGCGGGTGTGGAACTCGAGATGGAGACTCATGCTGCTGCTGCTGCTGCTGCTCTACTTCAGCTGCTCCCCTTCCTCAGTCACCCCAGACATCTCCTCCTCTGACACTGCAACCTCCACCTGTCTTGAAGGCTGCTGCACCTCATCTGCCTCCACAATGAGCGGTGTAGATGGAAGCTTCTGTTGCTGCTGCTTCCATTCCTTGTAGTACAGGGACTCAAGAAACTTCACATCCCTTGACACTGTCAACTTCTGGGTGGTCAAGTCCCATAGCAGCCACCCCTTGTGATCCTTTGCAATCCCCAAGTGCACACCCCATCTTCCAGAAGCCTCCAACTTCCCCCTTTTCTCCTTAGGCACATGAAACACCACCATGCACCCAAATGCCCTCAGCATGTTCACAGCTGGAGCACTCCCATACCACTTGACATATGGGATCCACTCCTTATCTCCAACTGTAGCCAGCACCCTGTTCTTCACAAGGGCGACCTGCCTCAGTGCAGACACCCAAAATGGATCAGGCAGCCCTGCACGCCCAAGGAGAGTGCGTGCCCCCTCCTGCAGGGTCCTGTTGAACCTCTCAGCCACGCCATTCTGCTGCGGGTTGTAGGGCACTGTCAGTTGATGCTGGATCCCCTTCCTCTTCAACTCCCCCTCAAAATCAGCTCCAATGAACTCCCCACCATTGTCACTGCGGATCACCTTCACCTTGTGTCCGCATTCCCTCTGAGCTCTAGGCATCCACTCCTTAAGGACAGCCGCTGCCACCTCCCCCTTGCTCTTCAAAGGGTAAACCCACACTGCCCGAGTGTGGTCATCCACAATTGTCAAGAAATAGCGGCTGCCTGAGAGGGAAGGGGCTCTTGTGGGCCCCACCACATCCATGTGCACAAGTGCAAGTGGGGTCTTGGCTGGTCCTGTAGTGCTGTTGAAGGGGAACTTGGAGAACTTGGTCTCCAAGCATGTAGGGCAGCTCCCAATCTCCTTCACTCCCCCTTTCACCTCCAAGCCCTTCAGGCTCCCATCCTTCACCAACTTCTGCAGCATAGGGAAGTTCACATGACACAGCCTCTCATGCCATGTCTCCCAATCGGCCTCTCCACTCCTTGATGAAGCCTTAGCCCATGCCGCACTCGCATCCACACCAGCAAGCACCTCACCATGTGTCTGCTGCTGCTGCACTTTCTTGACTGCTTCCAGGACCCCATCAGTTGGTGCAGTTGCATCTCCTCCTGCTGTTGCCTTTGCCGCTGCTGCCGTTGCTGCTGTTGGAGTCTTCCCATTCCATGGGATGATGGGCAGCTGCCACAGGTCCTTGATGCAGCTGGTCTCCTCTTCCAGACTCCACAGCACCTTCTTCCCAAGCTTAGCACGGCAGCTGGTTGGTCCAAAGGTCACTTCGGCCTTACTCTTCTGCAGTCGCCGCACAGAGAGAAGGTTAGCAGACAAGCCTTTAACCAGCAGAACATTCCCAAGCCCCACAAGCTCCCCATTAGCTCCCTTAACCTTGGCATTCCCAACACCAATCACGGGGAGCAAAGCACCTGACGCTGCTGCCACATACTTAATCTTCCCAGGGGGTTTTACCTCATCAAGCAAATCTGCCCGTGGAGTCATGTGACTGGTGCAACCCGAATCAATCACCCAGTGCGTGAGAGGGTGCATCACAACCTTTCCCACAGATCCCACATCACCCTCATGCCCATGCACATCCTCAACCATAACAAACAAACCAGGATAGGCATTACCTTGTGCACCTTCACCTTGTGCACCTGAGCCTTGCACAGCGCCACCTTGTGCGCGTTCACCACTGGGCGGCTTCATGCCTGGAGGTGCCCATCCCTCCAGCCTGCTGAAGCACTTGAACCAAGGATGCCCAACCTTCTTGCAGTACCAGCACGTGCCCTCCATTCTGGTACTCCCCCTGCCACTAGAGCTCCCATGCCCCTCATTATAGTCACCTCGGCCTCTACCTCTGCCAAAGCTCCTCCCACGGCCTCGGCCTTTCCAACCCCCTCTTCCTCTGCTGCGCCCTGCAGCTCCATACCCCTCAGCAGTCTTAGTGGCAGCACCGCCTCCCACATGGCGTCTGCGGAAGTCCTCCTGCAGAATCTGCTGCCTTAGCCACTCAGGTGTCCATTGATCTTGCTGAGAGTTGAGGGTGGGGATGAGGTTGTCCCAAGAGTTGTCCAACACCGAGATGATCTTGGTGCACTGCTGCAGCTGAGATACACTGCTGCCCGCTGCTGCCATCCTTGCATAGGTGTCCTTGATCTTGTCAAGGACCGGCTTCACATCGTCCCCTGGTCGCATGGAGATGGCAGCAAGTTCCTTCTCGAGCACGATCACCATCGGGAGAGTGTTGGGCTGAACCACATCACGTAGTAGTTTCCACGCCCTTGGACCCGAATCATCCGCTTCCACAAGATCCTTGATGTGCTCGAACATCTCCTTGTTGACCGATTGAAGAATGAGGTCGAAAAGCACCGCGCTTTTCTCAATCCACCGTTCACGTGCTTCGCCTTCTTCCGGCATCTTCTCTTCCCCAACAGCAATCTTCAGGAGCTTGTAGCGTTTGAAGGCACTCCTCATCCGTCCGCTCCATTCCTCATAGTTGGAGCCATCCAAAGCTTCAACTTTTGATGGCGGCGGCTCACTTGTCTTCTCAGCTACAGCTCCTCTTCCATTAGCATCTCCTCCTCTCTCATTCATCTTCTCCTTGAGAAATGACGAATTTCAGCTCCCCTTTGCTGTCCACACTCAGCTCCCTCGATATTTTCACAAGTGTCGGCGTCCACGAAATTTCGGCAGAGTTTCCCCTTAGCGGAAGACACATCCAACCTTTAGAACACCACTTAGGCACACCCACAGGCCATGGTGGGTCTAGAAGGGTCTTCACACTTCTGTAGACTCCTCTCAATGTCCTTAATATTGCTCTGATACCACTTGTTAGGATTAAGGACGGAGTCTAGGTGAACTTAGGAACTAGAATTACTCAAAATATAAATCCGAAATTCTGGACAGAAAAGTCGTCTTCACAAGAAACAACGTCGACGAAAAACTAGCCGTTGGAATGTCGCGAAACTTGGATATGTTGTAGCTCTTAATCTCAGCTACCGTTCCAATTTGAATCACGTTGATTGATGAAGTATTCGCGACGCTATGGCTTTCGACGCATTAGGGGGTAAGCTGTAGGAGGAGAACTTAACTCAATCTCAAAAGGTTCAATCAAAGTTCAAGAATCTCACAAGGAATTAGAAGGAGCAAGAGAAAGGTTGGGATAGGAAGAGAGGGATGAGAGGGAAGGTCCCAAGAGAGTCCCCAACCAAGGAAACCCCATAAGCACAAAGATTCCCTCCCTATAGGAACCTCAACTTTGACCTTTGTCCCTTCCCAACCAATCCATCCAAGTTGGCCACCCTTGCCAACCTAGCTTGGTTGTTCCCAACCTATTTGCAGCTGTTACAGTAGAGTGACAAGTTTCCCCAACCCCAAAGGTCCCAACTCCATATAAAGTCACCCCACAACTTCACTTAGTAACCGCCGCAATTGTAACGCAAGCTCATGAACTTTGAATCTTCATAGCTTTCGCGTTGTTGCTCCAATTGAAGAGATTCTTGTTGCGTCGGAAAGATCTTCTCAAGATCTATCATCACAAATACCTGCTCAAACAAAATAACACATAACACATTCCCAAACTCCAGAACACACACCACACAAATGCTTGCACATTCAAACCACACATGCAAGTTGAAAACATGGGATGGGAGGCAGACAGAATGTGATAGCATATGATGACATCACACAACACCGAGAGGGCGACGATACTGTCGGTCGGGATGGATGGTGGAAGAATGCCTGCTGACCGTAAGGGCCTCTCTGAGATAGCACACGCAACATGCCTGTGCCATACGCCATGGCGGGAGCCTCTAACAGAAACCGAGTGGGGTGCCTGAGACAGCCCTGTCAGGGGCTGTCTTGTAGGCATTCTGCTGCTGAATGGCGAAATGAGGCAAAAAGGTCAGGTAGACCCACTTCAAGAATGGGATGGAGGGGAAGGAAGGGACGTGCGTGACTCCTCGTCCCTATCGATCACGAACAGCCCCTTCACGAGCATCCAACGTACGATTTTGTGCAATGGACGGTCGTGGGTGGGCCCTGAATGGAATCTCCCCTTGGATGTCGTCAAGCAACGCTGTGATGGCACAGCGCTGCATGGAAGCAGCTAGGATGAGGCTTGCGGCACGCCTTCATTGGTTGATTTGCCAGCATTTCCGTGACTCAGCTGGTTTAGTCAACGACGTGGCTTGTATATGGACCACATCGTCAGTTACGCGATGAGGTCACGGATTGTCGATATCTGACTCAATACAAAGTGGTGTAATAAGCAGAAACATTTTGCAATTGGAAAACCCATATGCACGTTCCATAGAACCATAGTGTTATATTTTTCTTGCCTTTAATTCCACCCACCCCAAAGTTTTCATGAATTTTTATTAGCTCCCTAGGGTACTATATCCGGGAGAGTACGGTACTTGAGTCCCACACCCTCATTAATTCGAACAGTAAGGTTTTTTAAGTACAGTAACCCAGACGACTCACACATGTTGCCGACACCGCAAAGGGGTTACAAATAGGCATTTGCAGCTACATGAGGAGCCATGCAACCAGTGGACTCCTCCAAAAGCATGGACCCGAATCAGATGGAGAAGTTCTTCTCCTTCATGTCAACCTACGAGCAGCCCTCGGCACCGGCTCAATCTGCACACAGCAACAACAACAGTGGGGTAGCCCCCATGAGTCTCGAAGGCACGTCATATGCAATAGGCATACCACCTAGACATGATCAAGCATACCATCTACTCCCGATGGACGTAGGTTGTTCAACCATAAATGTTATGAGTGTTCAGCAGCTTGGTACAGTACCGTGTGGACACTGCACGAGATGAACGCTTTCTGCAACGGGCAACATGGAGTCTACACCTCGGCGTGGGAAAACATGATAAGGGTTTTTAGGAATCTGAGGTTGACCTAGATTCGTTGGAGCACGCGCATTCACCTCACAAGAAGATGAGGTTGACCTAGAGAGGCAGAATGTCCCTGACGCGTCAGCAGCTGCATGACCACATCCCTACTGCTCCGTCGACATGCAGATGGACGAAGACGACCCTCACGAAGTCCGGTCGTCGGCGAAGAGACGAAGTATAGCAGTGCCCGATTTAGCTCCGCGAGATGTTCTTGGTCCGGCTGCTTCAGGTGTGTCGCCAGTTGGCTAGCGCTGTTTGACAGATCCAGTCGGCAGGTTACTGCTGCGAACAGGAGGCAGCCGAGGTTCTGTTGAAATTCCTGAATTTGGTTCGCGGGGAGCTTTGCGGAGGTGTCGCTGTTGTCGTTCCTGTAGCGATAGGGAGTCGCGACTGCGACCGGCATTAGTCCAAATTTCAGTGCACAACGACTGCGTACTTTCTGGCGTGTAGGTATAGCGCCGAAGCGTCTTCGACAATGTTCAGACCCAGGTACTGGGTCACGGTGTCTGACATTGTGAGTATTAAGTCGCTTTTCTGCTCCCGTTCGAACCAGATGACGACGTCGGTAGTGGAGCTGACGTAGAGCAGGTCATCGACGTAGACGATGAGTATGACGAAATCCCCCCACTTTCTGTAGTCGGTACATCCCTTGGTCGTGGTAGATTTTCCATGGCTGCGACGGCGAGTAGAATAGAAGCGGTCGATGGTTACCCGAGTCCCCTTATGTAAGGAATTCCCATTCCTTACTGAGTCGCCTGCTACCGCATACACCCGAACACTCCGACTCGTCACGTTTGGCCTACATTTTCGACCCAACCCTTTCTCGAGTCGCGTCCGCCAGTGTCGCCACATTGCCGAACCTACCCACGTCCCGAGGTTATCGCCCTATTACGTCTACTCCTATATAACCTCGTGCTTTCATTGCATTAGCGACCTTGTATTCTCACGTTATAGTTCATTGGCATCTTCTAAATCATAACACCTTATCGAGTCGTAACAAGGGGATGTACCCCATGAAATACTGAAGCAATTTGACACCTCCTATTCTCCTGTATCATCATATAGACCTTGTATCCCTTTGCTATAGTCAATCATGTCTTCTTATATTTGAGTACTAGGGTTCAACCCAAGTGTTTTTTGGGGTTCCACGTAAGAGTACACAAAATACAATCCGGGGACAACTAGTATAGCAGATTGACCCAAAAAAGGTAGATTTCACCAAAACATGGACGAACAGATTGCATTCCGTTCAAGCTGACATCGCGGAAATCGAGATGCAAAATACCGGGTACTGGGGGAGGGTGAGCCGAGTGAACATGGTGCTGCGTTGCGTGCCCTCAAGCCCGACGTGGCAGCGAATCTTCACGTGGCGTGACGTGTCAGGTGCAGCCGTGGTGAAATGTATATGCCATTCTCTGACCCCTCGGGGGGATTCGTTTGTTTTTGGGGCACATCAATTTTATGTGGATTGCCCTTGTGAACCCGTAACAGTTAATGGCATGAATAACGTACACAGGGGGTTGTTCGTACTACGACTCATGTGTGTGTAAGGTAGCCCGCGGGATCTAGCCACCGCCTAGCGGCCATACGATTTCCTACCATCCTTGCACATCCGCAGTTTGGGACATCCGCGTGGGTACCCTTTTATCGTTATGTTTCTAGAAATCTCTGCCATAAAAAAAGGCAGCACCTAGACGCTCCCTCAAGTTTGCGCATCCAAATCGCCACTGCCCTGGCCGAGGACCTGTTCTAGTGTCAACTTAGGGTTAGTCCCTTCTAAACTCCATTTCGTCGCACAGCACGAGACACGACATACAGCATCTATCCATGGCCGCTCCTTCCGAGCCTAACAAGCCGCGTTTCCGAGCATTCAGCATGCCCTTGCCGTTGTACGACGGATGGCTGACCCTTGATCATTCGCATCTTGTAACTCTTCGCGGGTCCAACTGGATTTGTGGGCAGGTTATTGATTGGCTAGGCACGTGAGTTCACGTTCTCCCACCTCCCACCGCATGCTGGGATAGATTTCGGACCTACCTGGACTGAACGGTTCATTTCCCTTTGCAGAATGTTAAGCTACGAGTACTCCGAGCAAGATCAGCCATGGCTTTACACTTCCACGTACTTCTGGGGACTAGCGACCATGCTAGCGGACGGAACGAGCAAGAGCAACACCCACGGCATCAACATCTTCGATTACAAACATGTACTAGTACCGGTACACAAGGGGTAAGTACTTGTCTGACGAGTTGGTTCGCGGTATGCCTCAGCACACGGATTTTGTGGCCTGGGAAATGCTTCTTCGTGTAAATTCTATTCTAAACTTCCATTTCTGCTGCGTGACAAGGCTGGCTTGGTGGGCATGGCAGTGACCATTGGAGCTTGGTCATCTTGCAGCTCGAGCGCACGCCCGTCGAAACCATCCCTGTCGCTTGCCAGATGTGGCATGCAGACTCAAAGGATATGCACACCAACATAGATGCTCCTCTTCGAGAGTAAGCAAAGCCACATACGCAGCTCGGCTAGTTGTCAGTTTCGATCTTCAAGTGCTGTCGCTTCTCCCACCCTGCCCAGATACCTCCGTCGACAGGTGGCTGCGCATTTTCCACACCTTCGACGACGAGATGTCAAAGCTTGGGCCTCAGAGATTCCGCTCCGTGTCATCAAGGTGAGTGCATGATGAGAGCTCGTTATCATGGGTGCCCATTTTCAAGCCACAGTTGCCATCTGAGTCTTGCCCGTTGCGTATAGCCCACATTCACTCTAGAGGCTTCCCACTTGTGGTTTTCTCTGTACAGGTGCCAAAGCAGGAGGGTACAGACGACTGTGGTGTTTACACTATGCGCTTCATGCATTACGTCGTGGAGACGGGCTTCGTAGACCTTTGGCATATCAATCTGATGGGAACCCCCAGGAACTGGCGCAGGCAATACCGCAAGGACCTTACTAGGTGGTCTAACTATTTTTCAAAGGTGGCTGAAAGTGCGGCTCTGTTGTCAGATGTAACTGCCGCAACTTAATTCGTCGCAATGACACTGTCACAAAGTAAGGTCGCACTGTTGCGAAGAGGATTTATTAATGACTGCTGCGTGTATAAATGTATAATCTGCATTGGCCAGCAGTTATTTTATAGGTCCATTACATATCATGAACAGTTGTACTGTAGTAACAACGCATTACGACAGATCACCCCGCATGTGAGGCATGAAATCCGTGGGGCGTACCCCTCG